GGAAAATTATTACAACTGTATTTATAGGGTAGTCACAGAGTGTTCCACAAGGTCGTGGCAGAATTTCCGTGAGGGGGCAAGAGGCGTCGAGTCAAGGATGTTCGACTCGGATTGGCTGGCATTCTGACCAATCAGGGCATGCCTTCGTTTGGTCCGTGTCCTGCACGTGACACATCTGTCCAAACGATGTGATGTTCGGTTATTAGGGACGGCTGGCCTCCGAACAGAACAAACAGTCTTGGAGAGGCCCAAACTATCTCATAAATGCAAGTGCATTGCGCAGTCAATACCACATGTTTGGACCGTTGAGCTGAATTGATGAAAGATGAAGTGGGTATCAACGAACCAAAACACATACTAACAAGCAGACCAATCGTATTGTCGACTCAAACAACCAATCACAAACGAAGGTCGAACATGGCCAGCAGTATGTATATAAAGTTATGGACCATACTACTGTTCAGCATCTCTCACTAATACAACATACTACTTCGCCGCTACCGCAAGCACGCACTGACGAAGTCACCTTAACGAGTGATGAGACGTTCACAACCAGATTCCTCAGCTCAGCAGACAAAGCAATCCCCATTCACTTTGGTTCTTCTCTATTTCATTGTCCTTCATTCTTATTCTAGTTCCGAAATTCAACTATCAAGCAGAATACCCGCTGCATTATTTTGAGACAGCAGCGGGGGCTTCCGGAGTTGAGGTGATTCGTCTCGATCGATAACTCAGTAAAGCGACAGCTTCGCACACACACACACACTCTGTGCAAGACGGAGCGAATTTACCGAAAGCAGAAGGTAAGAGTAAGCAAACATGCTTGCTGTTTATACGCCTAAATTTCTCAGCCATACATATTTCCAATAAAGTCATTTATGAGCTCTTCACGTGATCGCCATGACAAGCCACATGTTGAATCGTTCCGAATCTAAAATGACTTGAGTGTTAGCTGTTGGAAAGCAGAACATGACTGGGTAGGCCTTGGGATGAGAAGTCCTAATACACAAATACCGTCAACCTGTATCATATTTTTCATAAAACTTTGCTTTTCGGGGGTCTCATTCGAGTTTCACTAGAAAAACAGGCCGTTCTGGTGACTCAGATGAAAGGAAATGGCGGGGAGTATGCAGGCTCATCATGGTGGCTTGCAAGATTCGTGTGAAGCGACAGATTACCACCGAAGGGCTTCAAAACGACAGTGCTTGAAGCCACCTTAGTTGTCCAGGGATACAAGAGATTTGAACCTACGACGTTGCTAGAAGTGGATTGCTGTGACCACCGTCCAAGACAGGCCAGAGTGCCCATACGCAGTAGATTCTTGGTAGTGCATACCACCAATCAGGCGTCGTTGTTTACAAATACTTGGTGATCTCCACTTAGGCCTTAGCTGAAAATGACTCGCTGGGGGAAAGGTTGGCAACTTAGGTTGTGTGCAGTGATCCGCATGAAGAAAGGGGTTTCACTCTTATTGAGGGGGAGTAGGAGGCGGTTTCTCACACGAGGCACCGCGAATCAATGCACGAATCTGCGGGAATACTTTACAAGAAGCTGTGAAGGCCTTTGAAAAATGATCAGTTTAAACCTTCGATCGAATTTCCGTGCTGTCGTAAATTTGGTACACCCCCATATGCTAAACACAGGTTTCAACTTAACGCTCTGCACAAATGTCACCTCGTGTTACAGTTGAAACGATATTCAAGATACCTTCACACTCAAAAGGTCCTGGACAGTTCATTCGCTGGCTTTACTCTCCTTGGGTCCCACTAGACAGGTCTGTTCCCTGGGGAATCCATCGGTCTTATGTCTTGTTCGAACATTAAATCGCACTTAATTGGCGTTAAACATTCATTTGGAAATTGATTTGGTGTTAGCGGACTGATGAACACGAAAGGGGGCGAAACTGGAAGTCGGCTCTGCAGGTTTTCCACCGATCATGTGAGTAGTATCACGTGAGGTGCGACTTCCGTTTGATGCTCCAAAGCAAGCAGCTTGAGTTTACAGATGAGCTGAATGGTGTCTGGTAACGTTCCCCACGCTTGACCTCATCCTGGTTCAAGCAATGTCATAAATAAAAATTAATATCGACTGGCGACAAAGACCCACAGAATGTTTGCCCTAGAAACAGTTGGTACCCGAGAATTAAGCTTAAATATGGTAGTCTCCATACAGAGTGACATGCAAACCTAAGATGCCTCTGAACAGGGACTGGTTTTTGCGAGCCAAAAACATTATACTACTGACTATACTCCCAGTAGGCAAAAATCGTGCAGAACGCAAAACCACCAAGAGCCAGAGCAGAGAGAAACGTGCTGCCGAAAGAGATGAGTGACCGGTTAGTTAAAAAGCCTTCCTTACTTGGTTCAGCTAGTTTAACTAGGCCTACTAGCTGGAACTGGAAACAGTAAGTGATCACCATCAAAAGCAACTTAGCTCAAACCGAAATTGTATACGTACCTGTTTTTCGTATAACCAACAAGCTAGCTCCAGGTGGCGATATGCCTGCTGTAGTCGGTCCTGGCCAAATTCGGAATCGATCGGTAGCAACTGCGTGGCCAAATCGACACGATCTTCAACACCGCTTAAAATGTCCGCCAATGCGTGCTGTGTGTTTTGGCAGCAGACTTGTGGTTCGGAAAGTACATCTGTTCGGACGCGCTCCCAAGTGGGGCGTATACTATCCAACCATTGCAATGGAGATTCACACGTGCCAGGGGGAACCATATTCACGGCCTGTTGTAGTGTGCTGAGCATTGTGTCCATAACCTGAAACAAACAGAGGCGGAAATTTTTGTTTTGTTGAACAGATTCAACTTCTGATCAATGTATCTACTGATTCGTGGCAGAACTCGTGAAATGGAAAAAATAGTACGGCGAAAGTAAAACATGAAACCACTCGGAGACAATCACCTCCGTAAAGTGTCCGCTTGTGTTTGGTGCGTATGATTCCTAGCCTCATTTATTCGAAACGACCAATAGAAGGTTAGAAGGTGAGTTGCCTGCAATGTATGTACCCAATCAAATAGAGAGATGGCTCACTAGGACGGCAAGTCGACCGGTTATATAATACCAAGAACGGGTCCGACTGAGGTTGACAGGCACGCCCTAAAACAATACAAACATAAGCACTGAGGATGAATTTCCACAATCGACTGCGCACTAGGGATGCCGCTCCGGCTGGCGACGAAACGCTTGCATCCAATCACAGACTTATTATCCTTCCAAAATATAAATACCCTGGCGAAATTCAACATCGCTTTTTTGTTGTGGGACCCCTGACGATCGCTGCGGGGTTGTTTACTAGAGAAACACCAACTGAACCGTTACGGACTATTGGACACAAGAGCAAAACTCATATGCACCTTGTTTACAGAAACTGAATATCCATCTTCTCCCTGAACGCGTCTCCATAAAATTTCCTGGATATTCATTGCTTGTTACTCAAATGCAAGCAAATGATAGAAAGCGAGTTCACAAATTCCGTAATAGATCCCACTTTTCAAGAGACGCAAAGCGGATTTACGAGAAGAAAACGTACTACTCGCATGCCCCCCATCAGTAGTATCACCGTTACACCAGGATGGGAAGTGACGAAACTAATGATGAGGAGTTTTCTCTACGAGAAGAAGATTTAGCATGAACCTTCAGTACTCCTGTCTCTCTTTGAGGCGATTCGCTTTTGACAAACTTGACATCTCAGATAACTGAAGACCCAACGCAAGTTTTCTACGCGATGACCTTGGTTTCTGTTTGGAAATAAACAGCCGAATGTGTTTTTTACGTGTGCAATCAACCATTAAGCAAGCTACATACATTGGAATTTGAATACTGTGTCCGGAGGTCAGTTGCCCCTAATGACCGAACAGCACGTCACTAGGACGGATGTGTCACGTGTGGGCTACGGACCAAAGGGAGGCATGTCCTGATTGGTCAGAATGCCAGCCAATCTGGATCGAGCATCTTTAGCTCGACGCTTATCGCCCCCTCACGGAGATTCTAGCACGACCTTGCGGGACATTCTGTTAGTATCCTATATATACAGTTGTAATAATCTTCCTTTATCTCCATAAGGGGTTGTCTGAGGCTGTCACGCCTTTTGATATACCATAGTGGGCGGAGCTGGAAGCCAAGAACCGACAGAGTTGCACCGCCGTTCAGCAAGTCACAACACAACTTAGAACGTCCATCCAATAATGGCCCACTTTGTCAGCTAGGATGAGCGACTCATACGTGAATCGCATACCACGAACGCAGCACATTGTTAGTCCAATCCACTTCTCTCGCAATTTCAAATTCAGCAACATTAATCAGTCACGCCGAGCAATCATCAACAGGTCTTGTTTCATGAGTCACTGAGGAGTTCCAAACCCTTCTGGTCAGCATTTGAACACTGTAATTTAGCCGTGAGTGCCCAATCACTTAGACAGTGTATGGCATCATTATCCCTTAAACTGCACACTGCCCTTGCTGGTTTCTCACTCGATCATCAGATGTGAATCCAGTGTGACTTGCGACCAGATAAAACACGATATTTTGTGATGCTTTGTGATGTTTGTGACACGTTTTGTGATGTTTTGTGACGCAATACGTACGACTTCCACGCTCCCGCCAGACAAAAAAGATAGTTCCATCCCACGCAGAAACTCACCAAGATGATGGCAATGCATCAACGTGTCTCTGCCGATGAGTCATCCGTGCGAATACCAGCTCTGTGGCTAGATCGCCCATCAGGATGATTCGCTTCGCGTCTGTTCGACACATGCGATTAGATGCGGACGAAGGGGTAGGCTGATACACTTGGGATGCAATGTATCCTTCCGAGTTAGTCGTGATTCCGGATCCCGATAGATATCATGATAAATCATTCTAACTAAAAAGACGCTAGCCCTGACTAAGCAAGCACATTTGCTCACTGGTCAGAACCCCGCCCCCCCTTGACATGCCCACCGTAGGCAACGTCTTCTTCGGTTCTCGGTATTCAGTCCGCGTTCGCTCGAGGTCCAATCACAGTAGACTCACGTGATGTGTCAGCACGCGACTGTTGATGCAGCACCTTTGACTGTCCCTTGATTGGTTCGTCTGATAATCGATTTTATGGGCTTTGGTTAACATCCTCGCGCTGCCATTGATTGTTGTTTGCCTTGGGTGTCGCCTGCACTTCGCACCCGTTCTGCGATCCTCTGAACTTTGAACTGTCCTGTCTTTCAACAGGGCTACCTCTAGCCTTTACCACATCAGTCGACACGCCGATGAGTAAAACGATGTGAAAACGAATCCTAGGAACCTCACAACCACATGAAGTTGCACGACACCCTGGGAGGAGCAGGGCTATGGCTTAACTTTTCTTGACTTGTCTTATCGATCACAGTTATGTGCTACAGCTGTCAGCAAGCCAAAACTCTCACGTGACTGAACAAAAGACCGGGCCATCGGCCGGTCCAGCATCAAGGCGAGCTCTGATTGGCTGAAAATATGGGCTCGATAGACAGTCGATTTCCAGTATCCGCTGCATTCCTCCACCTGCCGGTTTCACGTCCAGAAAGCGTCCTAATTTCCAAAATGTTATCGTTACATCCACTTTAAATATGATGCGATGTATGTGGTCGTTCAATACACTCAGTGTATCCTCGGTGTGTTAATTGCTGTCAGCTTAGGAAAACCAGATCGATAATTGGGCCGGGGCATTACCGTTATTTCAATATTATAATTAGATGCAGAAAAATTGGTAGGTTTATACAGAGTAATTTGTGTCATCTTTTATACCACCTGAATAATCTTCATAAAAGATGAGTGCATTAGTTCCTGACTGATGAACCAAACGGGTAAACTGACCTTGAAGTCCAAGATAATTTTCTCTCGTTCATTCACAGATACCTGAAAGGTACTTTTCTCCTCCGAAATTTCACCAGGCAACGATTCTGTCAGAATGACTTTCTTGCTTCGGAAATATTCGTCCACAAGACAGTGTTGATCCGGGCTCGATAGTGTGCGACACCAAAGAGACTGCAGAATTTCCACAGCTCTGTTTTGCATATCCTCCGAACGATCAACCTATGCGATAATTAGAGAAAAACAGGTGGTGCGTGAAAACTACCAAGGTATTCATCATGATTTCAAGGTATCTGGGATTCTGACCCTGTCTGTACGCGTGATTTACTGCTCTTCTTTTTTTCACAAGTGAGGTTATTCGCGCGAAGTGTACTCTCATTTGTGTACAATTTAACATATTAAACTGGTTTAAACAGGATTTAAACCTTNACGGAGGGAGGTGTTCGGCTATATCGGATGGATGTGCGTTTCAGACAGACCTATTCGGCACTTTTAACAGAGAACCTCATCAACTGAACGATTGCTTTTAGCAATTTTATCAGTCTATTGTTGGTACCGAGTTCACTGGATAAATACGTACCGGGTGTATTGACCATGGGGTTAAACAGAGCTCTTCAACAGATTCATGCGCCGAGAAAAACTGAACTATCTCAGTGTTCGGGGGCCAGCTGTCCCTAATAACCGAACATCACACCATTTGGACGCATGTGTCACGTGCAGGATACGGGCCAGTCGTAGGCATGCCCTGATTGGTCAGAATGCCAGCCAATCCGAGTCAAGCACCTTGACTCGACGGTTCTCGCCCCCTCACGGACAATCTGGCACGACCTTGTGGAACACTCTGTGACTACCCAATATATAAACAGTTGTACTGATTTTCCTCTGTCTCCATAAAGGGCTGTGTAGAGCTACCGTGCCTTTTGCTATACCATAGTGGGCGGAGCAGGAAGCCAAGGGACCGACACAGAGTTGCACTACCGTACATCAAGACACAACACCCAATGACCTTAGAGTGGAGTAGCGCCCGAAGAACGGCACTATTCAGGACGAAACAAGTTATCAAGCAGTTCGGAGACACCAAAAGGACAGCAAAACTGCCCCGTAGTGAGCAGAGCTCATCAAAAGTGGCTGCTTTGGGTAGCCTGCTGCTTTAGTTGGAAGCATCCTACTGGCTGAGCGCCAGTTGTATAAATCCCTACCTTCCATACTATCCACACAGCTCAGGAATCCGCCAGACCAATCCAAACAACATTGATTACTTACTACTTATTTCCAAATACAGTAGCACAAGTTCCACAAATTTCCAGAAAATGATCGGTGCTGGGTAGCCCCGTAAGGCAACTGAGCTGAAGCAAGTCATGCTACAGTAAGCTGCCGTCAGAGCATGAAATCTTGAAATGAGGGGAGGGATTTCTATGGTCCCCATTTTTTGTACTCAATCACTCTGAATATAACATGAGAACATTCGACCAAATAGCAATTTAGATGAGTAGGGCGTAGGATGGGTTGTTGTCGTCAAAAATGCTATCCAAACATGATTACAATAGAACAGTCATCGGTCCAGTTCAGCAGAGGACGCTGCTAGAATGAACAAGTAGTCTTCAATGCCATTCAAGGCCTATACTTGATAAGGTTGTCCAGTTGATTCCCTCAAAACGACTGAAATACAACCGATGTGATGACTGAGCAGTGACAACCCTCGGCACAATATTGGGTCTTTTCGAGGGAATCTCACGCACAAGAGTACCTTATCGGTACCATTGATGTTCCATCACTGAATACAGGTGTTGTGACTTGCTGTACGGTAGTGCAACTTGTATCAGTCTGTTATGACTTGCTAAACGGTAGTGCAACTCTGTACCGGTCCCTTGGCTTCCTGCTCCCCCCAATACGGTATATCAGAATGCACGGTAGCTCTGCACAGCCTTTTATGGAGACAAAGGAAACTATTACAACTGTATTTATAGGGTAGTCACAGTGTTCGACAAGGTCGTGCCAGAATCTCCGTGAGGGGGACGAGAAGCGTCCAGTCAAGGATTCTCAACCCGGATTGGCTGGCATTCTGACCAATCAGGGCATGCCTTCGTTTGGTCCGTGTCCTGCACGTGACACATCCGTCCAAATGATGTGATGCTCGGATTTTAGGGACGGCTGGCCTCCGAACAACAGGACAAGTAGCTAAGACGGAATGGGGACGATGCCACTTGTTGGGTGCCCTCAAGCAAGGAACCGACGACATACAAACAGAAGCGGTGGATCAGGCCCATGTGGTGATATGAGGACCATGTCAAGGGTGTTTTTTTACCAGGGGAGCGAATATTACGGGCCCAAAGAGATTAACAGTTGGCTTGTGACTGGTATTTTTTTGAGAGATCATCCTCAATTTCAAAGATCTATCACCCAGTTTGTCTGAAGAACCTCGAAGAACCTCAAGCACAAGGTTGACGGCCTACCTGATGAGCCCCAAGAAGGGCGAAACCGGACGTGGGCTGTCGACGGACTTTCAGCAACCTTATGCGTATTTCATTACGAATCTCGAGCCCCTTTCCAACAAAGACCATCGTTTCCAAACTCGTACACTGGGTCTTCTTATCTTTCAGTGTGGAGCACGTAAAAGGCTGATGCCACGACAGACAAGTTTGTCCTCTCGGAGTTTTCAAAACATGATTCTTAGCTGAATTTCACCTTCACAGTCCTCCTTTTTTTGAACAGATCACGTGTAGGGTCTCGTTCTTGGCGAACCAATCAAAGCAGTTACTGTCAAGGAGAAGTTATCTTGGAACACAAAGGCTAACAAAGTAGTTTGTTAGCGAATATACACTCATTTGCAAACTAATTTGGTTTTTCGAGACACTCACCTGGAACCCAGCTGAATCTCTCGTTTGTGATGTTTTCAGGCAACTAAATGTGCTGCACCAGGCCGCCTCATGTTTCAGTCGCTACGATATTCGAGATATCGCGTTACACGTGTATCGAAAAACCAAATTAGTAAGCAAATGAGTGTATGTTAGCTGATTCCGTGCAATTTGGTTTCAAGTAGAACATAAGGTTGACGGAAACCCGGGGACTGCGCCTACCTGCTGAGCCCGAACTGGAAGGGCGAAACCGGTAGTGGGCTGTCGACAGATTTTCAGCAACCTTATGAGTAATACATTACAAAAGTAGTTTGTTGATAGTACGAATGGATTTGAGAATCTCTGGTGTAGATTTTGTCCAGTGGGTGGTACCAATTTATGCAACAATCCGTAAGTAGCTCAGTGGAAGGATAAACTTCACCCGATGAGTAAAACTTCCATCTGAGAAGTGGTTGCTTGAGGAGCCAGTCAACACGTGTGACCACGTGATGTACATCCTATGATTGGAAGATGAGCGGCGATAAATTCTGTCTGAGCGCGAGTTATTCACACTGCTGATCAGCCACTGGTGATCGGACGGTTAAGTGTCAAACTACTAGTCAGGAGGGCGCGGGTTCGAGACTCTCCGGACTTTCCCGAGATGCGCACCGCTGATGATTCCCAGTAAGGATGAAGCAGCTGTACAGTGCTTCTCAGCTTTCCAGCATAGATTGGCTTCACTAACATGATGAAATCCCCACAAAATTCCCAAATCCTCTCACACTACCAAGAATCTATAAGTAGCTCAGTGGAGGGATAAACTTCACCCAATGAGTGAAACTTCCATCTGAGAAGTTGTTGCTCGAGGAGCCAGTTAACACGTGTGACCGCGTGATGTGGATCCCGTAGGTAAAAGATGAGCGGCGCGAAGTACGAGTCAATCACACTCCTGATCAGCCGCTCGGGGTCGAACGGATAAGAGTTCAAACTTACAGCCGGGAGGTAGCGGTTTGGAGACGGTCTGGAGTTTCGTCAGATGCGCACTGCTGATGAAACTACAGTGCTTTAGCTGGAGAGTGCATGCTAATACCTTCTATCCTTCGGACGAATACATCCTATCCGGTTCATGTGCAGGGATAGTTTCGTAGAACTTCCAGGAATATTACTACCTTCCTCCAGATGGAACATGCACAAAAGACTATTCTCGCCACAACGGCGGCCGCGACAGACCGACAGTCGTAGAGCTTGCAAGCACTTTGATTCCGAAGGGTGAAACGATGTCTTCATGTCGGTCAGCTAACAGTTCGGACCCAAAGTATCGTCCTATCAGTCATCCGTGGCTCGGCGATACTACTGAGGTGAAATATTCAGGAACACCGGTCTGTCCCCATGATCTAAATCAGGTAAGCTATCTACCAGACGTGTTGCAACCCCCTGCACACACATTCTCTCTCTCTATTGGTTGCAATTCACCTGGTGTAGGATGGTATGGTCCACCATATTCCAGATGCACAGATTGGCATGGAGAAACGGACTTTAAAAGCTGTTAACGTAGGCTTGCTGAAGTAAGTAAGCATATCTCTGGTCAGCACACAAGATCAATTCATGCAGGATGTTGTCGAGAGGATGTCTCATTCTACCTGTGATAACCTTCGCAGCGTCCTACCAAGGTGGAGCGCGTCAACGCCGGCCTCACTGGCCCAAGCATATTCATATATATTGAAATGAGATTCTAATTTCTTTATCACTACACGAAACGGTCCAAGTCTTCCTGAGTAAGATCCGGGTCACCATCATCTTGATACCTGCATAGTTTGGACATGTCGGTGTGTAGCAACGGTATTTCTCTCAGCTTAGTTCTCGGTCTGAGCCTCCCAAGCTAGCGTTCACGTCAAAAACAACCACCAAAGGTGCGAAGGTATATTAACGCCCAAAACGAAGTCAGGAAGACTTGTACAGCGCTTCGTATATATAGCGTAGGCTGGAATTTCGGACGCGTCTGGATGCGCAGTTGGCAACCGGCATTTGGCTAATACTGGGTCATGATTGGCTGTTGGGTTCAGACTTTCGACCAATCGGATCTCGTCTTGAGGCCGGACCGGTAAGCGTCTCGAATTCTCGGCCAATCTTGCGTGGGATGGACTTCTCGGACGTAGCAGCCCCTGAGTGCGAGCGGTAAAGAGGGATCCGTGTGGAATTCCGCCTAACACGGTGGTATGCTTGTAACCAGATCACTGATCCACCGGGGGCCGGTTCTTTGCGAGTCAGGGCACCTCGTTGTGTTCACACCTGTTTTTGGCTATGACAGAGCTGTGTCGAAAATTCTACCGAATTCAAGAAAAACTACGTCCAGGGTCATGAGCTTTAAACCATCGTCCTCTGGTTACCAGCGGGTTAGTTGAACAACACAGGTTCTGGTGGAGTACAAATGACGCTATACCCTGATGTATACGATTCTTTCCAAGAGCTTACAAAACACACGTTGAACTGACCGGTCGGGGGTTTCCTGGAATGGATCTGCTGTCAGAACTGACAGTCATCGCCACTCATGGGATCGGGATTAGTTCCTTTTTGGGGAAGATTGCTGGGCGGGGCGAAGACATTCGCTAATTCCTTGAGTATTAAAGGAAGGGGGCTCAGGAAATGGTGGCAACCGACCAGAAACGCTCTATTCGGCAGGTGTGTCTTGAATGTCAGAGTATTTCTGCTCATCTTCTGGCGTGTAAGCCGATACTTGCGCTTTATCTTCATTTTATTTGCGACTACACTGCCAGCTTCTGTTCAAACTCCTGGTGGTCTTCATAGCTCCACTTGGGCTGCATATCTGTCCATAGTAGTTAAACACATTATTCCGCGTCTATTGAACGATGTTAAGGGGGATTTTCTCTGTTCGAAGGGTTTTCTGAGTCGTGAGATAAACCAGAATTGTCCCCTGAACTAAGTTTGTGCCCTATATGGATGTGCGAATTCTTGGACAATCTTGACGTTTCCATGTGCCATACGTTCCAACAGATTGCTCAACTCTATGGGGTCTTCTGTCCGATCAACGCGGCTGGTAGCTGTTCTTACTTTCCGGACGTTACGGCAGTTGATGCTTGACTACCACAGTTCCAACGAAACATTATCAACCCAGGGCCACTGGTGATCAAAGTGTGCAAGCACTTCAAGATGACAAATGTTCACATATCTCAGTAGGGTTACTGTTGGGAATATTGGAGATGATGTTGTCGGTGGCCTCCTGGACGCGCTGATATGAGGAGAGGCCAGAAAAGTCATGTGGCGTTCATGTGTGCACCCAACTATAGCTGTTCCTAGATTAGTGGATGAAGGGAGCAGTGAGATCTTCTTGGATGTCCTTTATTGGAGGAGCGCTTCGGATCGCTAACCAGCCACAGTGTTCGTGATGCAAGAACTCGGTCGATTAATGTTTTATTCACATCCACAACGTCGTACGACCACGAGATGTGGCTTTCATGACTGAAAAGAAGAACTCTCTCTCTCCCGAGGCGGGCTCATCGCTCGTAAGCCAAGTAAACTCTACCACTGATGTTGAATTTTGAAGCGCTAGACACTGCAGCTAAGTATGCATGCGTACGGCGTTTCCGACGTTCCTACGCACAATGGGCGTTAACTACGGCGCTCCGACAGCTTGCGGATGCCTCTTCTGGTGGAGGAAAAACGAGTCTCAGGGCTCTGAATCGTATTGAGCTTACGGTATCCGCTTCCCAGATTCTCAAATCAATCCCCAGATGAGTCTTGCCTAGTCTCAAATCCCTCGACTGTCGGAAAACTTCAAACATCGCGCCAAGGTAACTACACAGAGGATGACAAAATACAGACGATTTGTGGCTTGAAAAAAAGCTGGGTTGTCTTCCGGTCGCCGTCAAATTTGTTAGACGGGCTACAATTCAATTCCCCTTGGTTACCTCGACAGGGTAGCGCTTTGGAGATAAAAGTTTGAAAGAACCGTCGTCTTTTCAAACAAAATTCTCCTCAACTCAG